GATTCCTTTCTATTGATGTGATTGATGTTATAGATGGATACGATAAGTAAGACGACTAGATGACCGTATTGATATTATCGATAGCAATAGATAGAGACTGTAGAGAATTGATTGAGGTATTGATTTGAGCTTTACGGATTTCTCTATTGATTCGACAGATGATATAGATTTATATTGATTGAATAGATGATATAGATTCAATGGATTGATTAGACGACACGATTGATTGAACTGATAGTATTGATTGATAGATACTGCTACGAGGAGATAGTGATTGGAAGCACATACTGATTTGATTGCTGGGGAATATTGATTTATCGATGTTTTTACCGCTGATTGGATTTCCGTTGCATAGATTCATTGACCATTGACTGATATTGATTTGATTGACTGACATGCATATTGATAGCATCGCCGTGCTTTGATTTCAGTTGTAGGCTTAGGTGACCTGCTGGGCTTTGTAAAGCTCATTATATGTGGTTTAAATTTTCAGGTCCGAGCAAGGCAACTGGAATGGAGTTCGATCAGAATGTCAGACGAATCCTTTCACTATTTGATTCTGGGGCATCACAATAGGTCATCCATTTACCATTATAAGTCTCTTAGTGATTTTAAATTTGAGTGATATTGAGCTCGCTAGATTCTTCTTATAGAAACTTTTGATTTTGACTATATAAGTATGTAAGATTTAGAGATTTTTTGATACTTTAACTAATGTCATGAAGTTTTAACAATACTTTAAATATTTATTTTAGGCTCATTTCAAGTCAGATCGGGTCACTTTTTATGTCATTGAATGATTCTAAATTTAATTCGAAAAGGTTCTAATAACGCATCAGGATTCGAGCAAATCAAAAGAACTTTTTGGAGACATATTATTCACCCTTTTCTTTTGGACACCAAAATCTGTGTGGTCATAAAATGTACATTAAGTTCATAACATATTATTGTCATTCGATATTTTTTTAAATTCATGAACTTTAATGTATAAAATCTATCATTTTTTTATTATTGCCTTCAATATTTTTTTTAAATGTATACAGTGGCCCACCTTAGTTGATTTTTTTTGTAGTTACTTCCATGATGTTTAGATCACACACATAAAATTTTAGAGTTTTTCTCAAACTAATTTCTCCAAAAATTGTTGAATGATGGTTGGTCAATATTTTATGCAACACATTATTGGATTGATCATCTTCTTTAGACAGAATGGAGAAACATTGACATCAAAGTATTTATTAAGAAAA